CGTAACAGCTAGTAAGCTAAGTTAGAATAGCTGTTAGCTAGCCAGTTACTCAGCTAATGTATCTAACACAACAATATTAGCTTAACAGCTAGTAAGCTAAGTTAGCTAGTGTAGCATAGAGTTTGTCAGTTGACATTGTTTGTGTTAAAATTGAGCGATGTTGCTCGGCTGTATTTTGTTTCAGAACTCAGCATGTGTGCTTGTTTTTTTTTTTTTTACATCAAGGTGTGAAGAAAGGAGACAGGGTGTCCGTCTACCTGCCCATGATCCCAGAGCTCGTCTACACCATGCTGGCCTGTGCCAGAATTGGTGCTGTTCACTCTGTTGTGGTAAGCACTGTGACGAAGACTTTCTATCAAGTTACACTTTTTTACGGGCGTGTGTCCAACGTGACAAAAGCAATCAAGTTTTCTCAAATAAGACATCCGCCCTACGTTCTAATGGTTCTTGACTGCTGCGTTTCCACATGCGGTGGAAACGCCGTCCTCTGTTCTGCAGACAGACACGTTGCTCGTGCTCATTCGCCACTCTGACCTCGTTCCCACAAGAAGACTTCAGCTGAATCGGAGCAGTCGCTTCTCGTGCAGGCTGCTTCACTCCACCAGTTATCAGCTGTTCTTTGACAGCACCTGCGCTCGCTATGTGGGTCAGACATTTCCTGGCTGCCCCCAGCCTGAGACAGCAGGCAGGCCAACACCATTTTAGATGTTTAACCTTCCCCATCCACGCAAAGGTTAGAAGCGGTGTTAAAATATCTGCAGCCGTCAGACGTGGAGTCTCTGTAACCAACAAAGGCCTGTTTTTGACAACCTTGTTCGTGCTGAGTCATTGTATATTTTCCACGTTTATCCCATTAGACACAGACAACCCTTATGCGTCTGGAATTTGCCAGCTCAGTGAACCCAATTATTACTTTAATTATTAATAAAGATGTATTTTGAGATAAAGACAGGCAGGCCCGGCTCCGCCAATGCAGTGACATTTTGCTGAGTCCAGAGTCCTCAGTGACCTGAATCATAATGCTGCCATCAATGCCGAAACCTTACACTCCGTGAACTATTAACCTTGGCCGGAAAACGAGTGTTTGGAAAAGGACGCAGCAAATAGCATCCACATAAAAGAGCAATTAATGGATGGTTGGCTTGTTAGGACTAAACAAGGTTACTCATCTATAAAAGGTGATGAGAGGGAATGACACACAACATCACTGGATCCGCTACAAGCACTTATGTACCTTTTTACCATTTTCCAGGCTTCAGCATGCTTGACGGAACTTGTTAAAAGCACACTTTGGCTCGTTGCTTTGCTTAAAGTATTTCTGATACAATTTAGAGCTTCTAATTTTGGTTTAATTTTACATAAGTCACATTAAATAGTTTTGACCACCTTTCATAATCATAATAGTACAAAAACAGTGTGTTATGTATAAAACACTTTAAAAGGACACTTTCAGATAGTGTAATACCACTGATGGCCACCAGAGGGGAGCAACAAAATTTTTTAATAGTTTTATTTTCAGTATAACTTGATTTTATTTATTTATCTGTTTCGTTTTTCAAAAAAATACCATGTTAATACATTTTTCAACAGCTTGCTGTCTTATTATTAAAATACAGGTCTCTCTTGCAAATGAGCACCCGAGGCTCAATGGGATTAACCTGTATAAATAAAAGTTGAATGACTTAGTTCAGAGCTAAATTGGGTTAAACTATGCAAAAGTATTTTTTGGCTAATTTCCTTACAAATAACACTTTCTCTTCTGGGTCTGAAAAGATCAGAAAAGTGAAGATCTGCAACAGAAATTAAAGTCTCAAAACAGCAATTTAGAAACTAATGGGTCAATAAAATCTGAAGTGTTAATGATATTTGTGTACAGTTATTATTATTTTGCAAGCTAACTACTGGTATGTCCTCTGCTTTTACCATTTACTAAGATGTTCAGCTCATTCTGAACATGCTTTTAGCTTTTAGCCAGACTTTTGCCACATTTAACTTTTAATATTGTTCTGTTACTTTTAGCTTGCCTTTTGCTATTTGTGAATTTTTGATAGTATTAAGCTACTTTCAGCTTGTAACTTGTAAGCTTATTTTATCTTTTAGCTATGTTAAGCTAACTTTACCTCTTAGTGTTTTTCTTTTAGCTCTTAGCATTCTGCTTCTTTTAGCTTTTTGCTGGTGCATTATCTCTTTTAGCTGGTGTTTTGAATACTTTACCTTTTAGCTATGTTATGCTAACTTTAGCACTTAGTGTTCTCCTGCTTTTAGCTCTTAGCTAGTGTTTTCCTTCTTTTAGCTCTTGTTCTCATTCTTTAACTCTTAGCTTGTGCGTTGCATCTTTTAGCTTTTAGCTGGTGTTTTGCATATTTTACCTTTTAGCTATGTTATGCTAAGTTTAGCTCTTAGATAGAGCTCTTCTTTTAGCTCTAAGCTAGTGTTCTCCTTTTAGCTCTTAGCTGGTGCGTTGCATCTTTTAGCTTTTTGCTGGTGTTTTGCATCTTTTAGGTTTACCATCAGTTTCGGCTGCTTCACCCATTCTTACTTTCTACGTTTGCACAGAAAATGTGAGTGTTTCTGGTTTTATCCAGGGTCGAATGGACTTTAGCTTCAACAGGCTAAAGTCAAACAACCATACATATTTGTGATGACTTTATAGGCAGTTTGCTACAGAAGCACTCTGGATCCAGAATGTGTCGCAACCTGATTTTTTCTGACATGAAGTTTTTAACATTAAATGAAGCGATGGGGCAACTTCCTGCCAGCTCGAGCTCAGCTGGTGGAGATTTGAAGTGAATAAAGTCAGCGGTTGCTGTGAAACACTAAAGAAAAGACTCCTTGATTCTCTGAGTCACTGCTTTATTCTCACTCAACCGTCCTGGTGACAAAAGCTTCAAATAGACTGACTAAATGATTACATTTAAAACCTTCAGGCTGCAGTTTCAAAGATGAGAATAAAAGGCTGAAGGCTCTGCTGATGACGTCAGGGAAGGTTTGATTTAGCTGTAGAAAAATGAAATGAACTGGCACCAATTTGCTGCATCCTGTCCTGGTTTTAGACGGCGAGGGAAGTTCGACTCATTAAAAACAGTAATGCTAACAAAACGTCTTTTAAAAACTGAAACCTTAATTTAATCAGCCTGCTTATAGCATGAAGTTAAACCTGCTATTTAAAAAGGGATCTCTGACGAACAATGGACCTTATTTAAAAAACAACTTCTTCAGCTGTAAAATCACAGCTTAAACTTGCAGCTTGTTTGATTGTTACATCATAAAAGTGGGTTTTGTTCGTACAGTTTGCAGGTTTTTCCTCCGAGTCTCTGTGTGAGCGGATCATGGACGCCCACAGCAGCGTTTTGGTGACAGCAGGTAACATTTATCGCTTGTTTCAAACATGTGGGCGACAAATCAGCACCAGACGCTGTGAATGCCCGTGTTCTCTTTGAAATATGTACATCTCTGACACACAGACGGTGTTTATAGAGGGGAGAAGCTGATCAACCTGAAGCAGATTTCAGATGAAGCGGTGGAGAAATGCAAGGAAAAGTAAGTCATGTGATGGAAAATGTCCCGGTTCCCGGCAACTGATCGTATTTACACAGGCAGCTGCTGGTAACAGGACGAGGCACACACAGTACGACGCAGTCAGCTGTTATCAGACAGGTGCTGGGCTTTCAGATTACAAAGGTTGCCGGGCAACAAGGAGCACTCGGATCCATCAGGGAAGCCCGAGCCGCCCATCTCCCATGGCAACGAGAGCCCGAGAGGGATGAGAGCTAAAAAGCAAAGCATGCTGGGAGTGGTCGTCTTGGCTGGGATGTTGAGTTGTTTCAAAACGAGGGACTGAATTAATACAGAGCGGCAGATTCTGATAATGTGCAGAAAACATTTTAATCTGTGTTATTTGTCAAAAGTTCAACATTTTTATCACAAACATCAACAAGTCGCTGATGTTCATTATTAATGTCATGTTTTTGTGTTTTATATATTTTTAAAATTTTCTAAACTTCACTTAAATCATTTGCAGTTATTGATTATCTTGGGTAAAACTAAATATTCAGATTAAACTTGACCCTCCTGCTGCCCTTGGGCCAAAATGACCCATAAGGTGTGATGCCTCTCGGGTCATTTTGACTCAGGGGCAGCAGGAGGGTTAAAACTGCTGTTTAGATTATTTGAGGAGAAGCAAATATAAACCAAAAACAAACAAACAAATAATTTTTTTTATCTTATTTCATAGAGGGTCGTCTGGTGTCGCCAAATGTCTGGTCGTAAAGCACGAAGCACTGAGGACACAAGCTGGATCTTCATGCAACAAATTACAGGTAAAACCATTTGATACCTTTGACTGTACTGATTTATTCAAACGATGTCATATGTTTGGTGAAAAAAAGGACGTTCATTTATTGTTTTTATAACAATTTTTTTAATTTTAATTGCCTTTTATTTTCATATGAGTCCTCGTGACTTAATGAGACAAATCTGCATAAATACAGATTATATAAATAAATAAATAAATAAATTTGGTCTTAAATTTTCTACTCATTATATTTTGTTTAATTGTTTACAGATGAATTTAAAGTTGCATATGAAGAAGAAACTAAACAAAAACCGTTTCCAATTTCTTGCTGTCGATTACGTTCATGTTTAGTCACGGCGGGTCCAGGTTGTGGGAAGGTGGGGTGCTTGAGGTGCTGCAGCAACAACACCCGCCCCCCCCCGACAGACGCTGGATGACATGTCCAAAAACAGAGTCACTGAATTCATTAAAAAATAATAAAAAGCACATTTTTAAATGTGTTGGGTTTGATCTCCGCTCCGTTCAGACCCCCTGGGACTCAGAGCGAGACGTGTGGTGGGACGAGGCCATGGGGACCGCTGACGATGAGTGTGAACCTGAGTGGGTGGATGCTGAGGACCCGCTGTTCATCCTCTACACCAGCGGCTCCACCGGCAAACCCAAAGTAAGACACGGCGCCATGAATAAACACAAACACATATGGCAGGCTAAAAGGCCCTTAATACGCCACTTTTACAAAACATCTGGATAAAATGATGTAAAATAGAGTTTTATAAGTCAGGATGTTAAAAAAATATGAGAAATTCTGCCAGAATGCCTTTTTTTATTGTACTTTTGAGACCTAATCTGCTTCAATTTGTGTTTTTTCTCCTCATAGTTGTAAAAAGTAAACAGTTGCAATATTGTTGACACATTGGTTTGAATAAATTATACAGTGAGGTTTAAATAAAGTAGAACTGTCCAAGTCCATGCTCAATAATCCAGGTAAAAATCCAACTATGTTCAGTCAAGTCATCCGGATGGTTTCTTTTTTTGCCGAGACGTTTCGTCCTTCATCCAAAGGACTTCATCAGTCCGAGGAGCCACAAACAAACTGAGTCCCACAAGCAGCACACTCCCATAGTGGGAAGAAAACAGCTTTTGGTAATAAGATGGTTTCTGGGGCCCGCCCTCCCCCCGTCAACTCCTCTGAGGCAGCCATGGCAAGAGTAATGCTCACCCATGTGCAATGAATGACCTGTCTGAGCATCACAGGTTCTAATACCCACAGCAGACCTTGAAGTCCAACTGGGTCTGACTCCACTGTATTTGGATACCTTGGGAGAGTCCGCATCCAGTGTGTTGAGGTTACACCAGTCTGGTAGGTGGAGGTCTATCTGACTCACATCACACTCAAATATGGGACAGGGCAGTTGCTGCTATCCCAGTAATGCCACAACCTAGAGACAGTATGTTCAAAAAAATTTTTTTTGAAGATTTCAGACAGAAGATTGAAGATGGATCTGCCCGGAGCAACTTTTCTATGGTGGATCGGTCTCCCAATTGATTTTATTGGTTTACAGATGGATCCCTTCTGAAGGGGTCAGTAGGTGCAGGGGTGCTGATCTTGCCCAGGTATACTTGATGGAGTTCTAACTGGGCACAACCTGCTCAACCACCACAAAATGGTGATGGGACTCCATGACAGTGGTCTGTGTGAAGCCTGTGGCACTGAATTAGAGATTTATTTGCACTCTTGCCCGGCTCTGAGCAGTCAAGGAGAAAAAAAATCTTGGGGAACCCTTCATGGGTCACGATTAGCTCACTGTGTTTCAGACTTTATCTTTCATCCGAGGGACTTGAAGTTTGAATAAAACTTAGTGTCTTTTGGGGGAGATAAATGGGCCCACCTGTGATACCCCCACCCATATATGGGTTCTTCATCCATCCTCACCTACCAGTGCCGATACTTCTCTTCCAGCCTGTGTTTTTACCTTCTACTGTCCTTGACGATTAATAATCTTTGCACGTCTCACAGGGTGTTGTCCACACGGTCGCTGGCTATCTGTTGTACACCTCCCTGACCTTCAAACATGTCTTTGACCATCACCATGACGACGTGTACTGGTGCACGGCAGACATCGGCTGGATCACCGGCCACTCCTACATCACCTACGGTCCCCTGGCGAACGGAGCCACAAGCGTCCTTGTAAGTCAAACAGGCGCGGTTTCTGTAAAATGAGGCGATAAAGCGCACGTATGTTCACCTGTGGGGGGGCTGTGTGATTCCAGTTTGAGGGGATCCCTGTGCACCCTCACGTCGGACGGTTCTGGGAGATCATCGAAAAGTACAAAGTGAGCAAGTTTTACACAGCTCCCACAGCCATCCGCCTGCTGATGAAGTACGGGAGTGAACCGCTGCAGAAGTAAGCCCCCGTCTCCGCTGAGAGTCGCCACAGTTTAAGACGATCGCAGGAGCTGCAGGAGGAGGTTCATCGAGAAATCTTCCACGTTGTTTTTAGTGTGAACGCTCATAAAGTTGTAGGATCCATTTTTCTTCCGTATGTTTTTTGGCACAGATCAACTCACAGAGAGTCAAAGCATCACAAGCACAGAACTTATTACCTGGTCCTGTCCGAGTTCTGAGCCCTTTCTAACTTACTGGAGTAAACTCGTTAAGGGCCTTAGTGTTTATCAGAAACAAAATATATTTTTTAAATATGTAGCTTTTCGGCCATGTTTTCCATACTGAAAATGAACGGAGCTCTCTTCACATCCTTAAAACTCTGTGCCGTTTAAAACCTTTTACTGCTCGTTTCAGCTTTTAGTCTGGTTCAGCTTCTTTCAGCTCCTTTCAGCTTCTTTCAGCTTTTTTTTTGTTCATTTTTCAGTTTTTTCCTGCCGACTTGTTTTTAATCACACTCTGCCATTTGTGATTATTTTGAATAATTTTAACCTTAAAATTTAACCTAAAATTTTATTTTTTTAATTTAATAATTTTTATTTTTTTATTTTTTCAAACTCTTTCTGCTAAATTCAGCTTTTCAGCAGCTTTTTCAGCTACTATTTTTTTTCTAATTTCAGCCTTTTTGTAATCTGTTCAGCCCATTTCAACTTTTTCTACACATTTCTGCTGTTCTTCATTTTCTTGCTCTTGGAAATGTCAGATGTTCAAATTCAGCTTTCATCAGTAGTTCAGCTATGAAATCTTTTCAACAAAAATCATTCAGCAATAAGCGCTCACACCATTACTCACATCTCGTCGTTCGGTCCTTCTGTAACATTCGGCGTGGCAGTAAACAAAATCTAAACCCTGCAGAGCTTTAAGTCATTTTATGTCCCGTGAGCCGTAAGTTGAAGACAATCAGTTGAAGCTGAAGATTATTTTTCCTTCAATTAAAGAATAAAGGACAATAAAACAGTATCTGAGTGAGTTTCACTCCATCTGCCCCCTCTGGGGTCTATCCTGAGGAAACAAGTCTTTCATTTCATTGTTCTGCTGATGATTGTCAGATTTATCTGCCCTTAAAACAAACTAGTTCCTGCACAAATTATATGAGAGATCATAATTAATATTCATTTAAAATTAGGGAGATTAGAAAGATTACCGTATTTTCCGCCGTACACGTCGCATCTGTCCAAATATGTCTAATAAAGTGGAAAAAACATAAATAAGTCGCTTCGCTGTATAAAGTTGCATCTTTTATGCGTCACCGCTGACAACCTGGAAATGTGGACTGGCTGCCAAATGACGGCCGCGGGAGCGTGCACGGGAGGACTTTAACAAGAATTTAACAAGATTAACACAAAAACAATTATTTGTTTGCTCAACATTATAGCAAAGGTGTGTCTCAGTTGAACTTTTCCTTAATAAATGCACTTTAATGGTCAAATCAGCTGCATTTCACCTGCATGGACGGCGCGGCGACATGCAGCTGATTTGACGTTTGCTCCAGGAGTTGTGGAGCGAGACGAAGGTGGCTCTGTATGGCAAGCCATATGTCTCACTAATAGTCACTTTTACCTATTAATGAGACACTTGGCTTGTCATTTTAGTCTAGGGCCCTCTAGTGGCTGAAAATGGTAGTGTTGAATATTTTCCATGTCATAAAGAATAAAATAGTCAGATCTCAGTCAAAAATTGTTTATAAATATGGAAAAAAAACAGAAATAAGTCACTTCGCTGTATAAGTATACAAAAAGGTGCGACCTATATGACAAAAAGTATGGTATATAATATTTTAGTTACTTAGATCACAAGGTGGCGTCTTAATGAACTAATTTTATACACATACCACATTTTTCTTGTTTCGTGCCCTCTGCTCTTTCCGACTCATTTCGGCAACGCAGGTCACATAATTTGCTCCTTGCTCAGGTACGACCTGTCCAGCCTGAGGATTCTGGGTACTGTAGGCGAGCCCATCAACCCCGAGGCGTGGCGGTGGTTCTACGAGGTGGTGGGTCAGAGCCGGTGTCCGGTGGTCGATACGTTCTGGCAGACAGAAACGGTACGAGACGATAAATCAACCAGACGGTCTGGTTGACTGGAGGCCGGATCAGATTTAAATATATTTTCAAAGGTTTCTTGTTTACATTATTATTATTTTTATTATTATTTCCCTGTAGGGAGGTCATGTTTTGACTCCACTACCTGCTGCTACACCTCTGAAACCAGGCTCTGCTGTGAGTACCACCTTTATCTTTATGGAAACATCAGGGTAAAGAGAGAGAGAGAGAATATCACACAATACAACATTTTTCCTAAACCAGGTTCTGTTTGTTTTCTTTATTCAACTTATTTGTTCTTTACAAATGACGTGTCAGGTTAAGGGACATCTACTCCTCATATTTCAGACCTTTCCGTTCTTCGGGGTCGAGCCGGCCGTCCTGAACGAACATGGGGAGGAAGTGGAAGGTGAGGCTGAGGGTTACCTGGTAAGTTTATCTGATTTAGGATTTTTTTTTTTTTTTTAACTACCAAAAAAAAACAATTAAAATGAACTCTGATTAGACGCAAACACTTCTCTCCTGGTCGTGTGCTGCAGGTTTTCAGAAAGCCCTGGCCGGGACTGATGCGAACTGTTTATAAAGACCACAAGCGCTTCGAGAACACCTACTTCAAGAAATTCCCGGGCTTTTACGTCACCGGCGACGGTGAGACGCCAAAACAAACAAACAAAAATAAAAACACGCTGCATGTCACCCGAGAAGCCAGCAGTTTGTTTTTATGGATAAATTGAAAGTTGAAACTTCTGTTGGAGGTTATTCAGGTCGTTTTCTCCGCTCTCAGGCTGCAGGCGGGATAAAGACGGATATTACTGGATCACAGGGAGGATCGACGACATGTTGAACGTGTCGGGTACAAAACATACAAAACTCCTTTTTACTTTTAACCTTGACTGTAAACATCTGCTGTCAGCCGTGCGCTTCGTTTGCGACTTCGTATAAATAATCATATTTGTCCTCCAGGCCACCTCATGAGCACGGCGGAGGTGGAGGCGGCGCTGATGCTGCACCCGTCGGTGTCGGAGGCTGCCGCGGTGAGCCGACCTCACAAGGTGAAGGGAGAGTGTCTGTACTGCTTCGTCACCCTCAAAGACAGCCGGGAGTTCGACAGCAAGCTGGTGGAGGAGCTCAAGAGGCTCGGTGAGGATCCCACTCAGGAGGGATCTCCTTGTCTGTCGTAGCCTTTACTCCGTCGTAAAGTAAAAATGACTGATAGAACTGAATCACCCGCCGCTTTTCATGCCCAAGTTTTGGACTCAGATCTTGTTTTGTTAACAACAGCTGTTAAAATATGTGATTTTTATTATATTCATTAAATGTTTGATTGGGGGTTCGTTTAACTCGGACTCGTCAGGGTTCATGTTGATCTCGCGTTAGAAGTTGGTGTTTGAATGTAAACGTACGGCTCGTAATCGCTGGCCATCAAACCTGAGTCTGTTGATTTTGCTCATTTTTTACAAATTATGTGATAAACATTTGGCAGGGGAAGATGAGGGCTTAGTTTTTATCATAGATGATACGCAAATACAACAATTTTCAGATTAAAACCTATAAAAAAATCTTTTATTTTGACACCTTGCTTGAAACCCACAGGTTGTAAATAACACGTAGGACCAGAACCTGGAAGCTGAAGCCAGAACAGGACCAGCTGTTTAAAGTCCCGCCCCCCTTCATGTAAACTAATGGGACTTTGCTATTTTTATATATAAAAAAAAAACAAACTTGTTCAAATATTTATTTTTCTAATAGTTTAGCTGTGATCAGTTATTTTATGCTTAAATAAAAACAAGTCACGTGACACCATGATGGTGCATGAAGAAGTAGGCGGGGCTTAAAGACCCACATCGCCAGTGAGCAGACTCTGGATCCACAAAATCCAACATGGCTGCTTCTTTAAATCGGTTCTTTCTGGTTTCAGTTCCAGACCACAGGGACACTCTGTCTGGTTTTAGAACATCAGTTTGAGGTCGACTCTCAGCTACTACCACACAAAAGTTTAGCTCAACATCTGTAAAACTGGTTGAGTTATAATCGTTGTTGTGTTTTCTATGGTGAGCTGGCTGTGGCAGCCATTTTGAACGAGGTTGACTCCAAAACAAATTACTTTCTGACTGGTTTGATTTAAGTGTGCAATCAGATTAGATTAGTTTTAAATTAAAGCCAACAAACATTTATTTTACTCCTACTGTTCGTAAAAATAGAGCTGAATATTTTTTTTTGAGCGTTCTTTCCTGTTTTTCTTTCAGTGAGAGGAAACATTGGACCGATCGCGACGCCTGACTTCATCCAGAACGCCCCGGCGCTGCCGAAGACTCGCTCAGGTAACACCCGCAGCAGCTTCCTCAGGTGACCTCTGACCCCCTCTGAAACACCTCGCTCCTCTTCCTCAGGGAAAATAATGAGGCGGATCCTGCGGCAGATCGCTCGAGGCGAGGAGGATCTCGGGGACCTCTCCACCCTGTCCGACCCGAAGGTGGTGGAGGTGCTGCTCAGCCAGAGGAGAGAAGCTGCAGCCTGAGCCTTCGTCTCCCGATTCTAGTGACTGATGATGAACGTCTCGCCTGATGGACTCTCTCTGAATGCCTTTCGGACAGAGTCAGAGCGCAGACACGTTTAAAAACAGAAAAATATCTTGAAGATTTTGTCAGCTTGGGCCAAAATATCATTTTAGTTGAAGCCTTTGCTTCCAGAGGGAATTATTTTTTAAATTTTGAAATAGAAGTCAGTTTTGCACAGCTTGTTTCTCACTGGTTCTGTATTTTTCCACGCATTTCTATCATCTATAATAAAAGAGTTTCATCCTTTTTGTCTGATCACAGCAGCTGAACTTCGCCCCCTTGTGGCAGAAATCTGCCTCTGCAGCAGCTGAATGAAGATTTTTACCCTTTTGTTGCCTCATGATGCCCAAAACATCCACACAGCTTAGATTATATGATCTGAACAGCCAGGAGGGATTTTTAGAAGAGAGGGGAGAAGCTTAAATTGTGAGTGTTTGTTGATTTTGAAGCACAAAACAAAACAAAAAAAGTAAAAGTGTCTTTTTAAGCGTTTCGACTGCAGCAGCTGGAATGAAAAGCCACTCCTGTCGCTTCAGGTCACGAGGATTCAGTGACCGTCTCCTTTTGTCCTCAGAGCTGGGAGGGACAAGGATGAGAAGACGAGGCTCGGGAAGTTACATCATCAGCCGTTACCATGACAACCTCCTCACTTCTTCTACCTGTGACTCCAGCTGCGCTCTGCAGATGTTTCGTAACCCGACACATTCCCTGGCGCTCTCCATTCCTCACGTCTATTGGTCAAGAAAAAAATTATACATTTTCTCAGATTCTTATAAATAAATAAAGCGATGGAATGCATGTCACCCGCCACCTTTTATAAGATGCAGAGTTTCAGAGTAAGATTTTACAAGAGCTGCTGCGTATCGACGATTTCTTTCAAATCCAAACTGTTTAAAAGATCCAAAGGCCTCTTTAAATAAATGTAAACGAAACAAAAACAGAGTTTTATCTGCTGAACTGAATGCAAATTACTTTCAAATAAAGCGCGGTCCGTGCTTACTGCTACTTCCTGTCTGACAGGAAGTTGTATCCAGAATATTTTTATAGATCAGAGCTCGCAGGAATAAGGTGATATTTTCCCTGGGGTAAAATAATCTGTACTTTAACTTGAGTTCCTCCACCACTGCTGAGCACACCGTGGCGTGAAACCTGTTTGTGATCCTGCTGTCTGGTAGAACCCGTGCCCAGGCAGGACTTGGAGAACTCCAAATTTAATTAAGAATATTTAATAAAAGTAAAAACAAAAGCCGACGTTGAGCAAACTTACAGTTTCACTGGGAAGACACGGAGGGAGACAAAACCAGAACACCATTCAGGACAACGCACGGACACGGGGAACAGACGCAGACTTGAAAACAAAACACTAACGAGGGAATAAACACAAACACCTGGAGACAACAGCTGGCAGAGAGCTGATCACATGAGGGAGAAACACGGAGGAGGGCAGGACAGACAACACACACAGATCCTCTCAGTTTATTGTTTCTCCTCAGTGCACATGTACTGGACGCCAGTTCTGCTGGACAGTAGTCCCTCATTTATTGCGTGGATTTGTACCTTGAAACCCGCAATAAGTGAAAAACTGCGAAGTAGGAATAGTAGTACAAATACTAAGTAGTAGTTTTATTTGAGTATTTATATAAATATATCTATAAAGTCATTTTAAACCCTTCCCACACTCTTGCAATATTCTAAACAATGTTTCTAAACTTTAAACGAGCACAGAATGTCATGATTTCAGCTCCCTGCCTCCGCTGCTCTGGGCCACGCCCATTTCTCCGCTCTGCACTATGAACAGCTGATCAGCTGCAGCAGGAAGTTTATCCTGCAGTGTGAGCGGCACAAAGGTGCAGCAGGTGCTAAATAATTTTAAATAATTTAATTCCATGCGGCTCATCCATCAGTCAGTCAAATGTGTGTCATGTCCCATTTTATTTTGAAAAACGAGGGACTATTTGCTTTTAGATTAAATCATTTGGGCTTCTTGTCTCTAGATTCACATATTGCACCCGGTTTGTTCTTCCTATAGGCAAATGTCAGGATGTAGGAAGTGTGATGTCAGATGAAACTACAGCAGTCCCTCGTTTATCGTGGGTGTTAGGGACCGCCCCCCCCACCTGAGAAGTGAAAATCAGTAAAGTAGAGGAGGTATACTATTTATTTTAGTATTTATATATATATTAAGGCTTTAGAAACCCTTCCCACACTCTTGCAATGTTCTAAACTCTTAAACCGACATCATTTTGTACTACCGGTGCTTAGCGTATTTTAGTTGTTTTTCTTGATTCATATCTTAGATCTTACTGTTTTTCTTTACAGTTTATACTTTTGTTGGATGTAACTGGGCGTACACAATTTCGTTCCACCTCATGTACCACATGGTGCGTATGACGAATAAAGAACTTTGAATCCTCCAATTTTAACAACATACTTATATGTAGCTACTAAATTTTACTTACCAGAGTGTCCCTGCTCCGAAGTCCTTGTAGGCCGGTTGAAAGAGATGATGAAGGTCCTGCTGAGCTCTGGACCTTC